AAACTGCTATGAAAATCATTCACCAGTCTTTTGTCATGTGTTAAGCAGGTATTCAACATTCTGTAGTAAAAACCTCAGAAATCCGGGGTATAGGAGTGTGCTCACAAGCAGTGAGCTGTTAAATACGCACCATTAGGAACTCAGCCTCTTGTGAAAGGCAAAAAATGTGAATGTTTCAGTCAGTGAACGATAGAAACGGGTGAGTTTGCCTTTACATACTTCTGGATGGCAAGACTGGGCTAAGTGAGCAGTGCAACAATTACCAAGGTGAATAGATATTCTCAAATGTTTTCATTACACGATTATGAGACGAAACTTTTGATAGCTGGGCTTCTTGATATAATATACGAAGTCAGAATCCCCATTTTTTAAATTCCTCTGTGTTTCGAGTAGAATATAGGTCATCAAACTTCTAAAATTTCAGTAGCTGTGGTGTCCCTTTCTTTTGCAGGGTAGGGATACAAGCCTCACTCTGGACCCACCCTCTTTTCCGGTCCAACTACTGGCTAGGTGAAGTTTAGGACTACATCGGCGATGAATTGAACCCAGACCTCCAGTATGGCAGGCGAGGATTCCCCTACTTTACCACTAATGCATAGTCCACAGGCCTATAACAAATGCCTTGTAAGAATTTCAACAATTCAGCCATTCACCAAGAAAACAAGCAATGAACTGATTCTGAAGTCAGTTCAAGACTGAGAAGGGTACACCTTTGATTTCCTGAACATGTACCAAAAATCTACATCTCAAAGGAACAAACGCTTACAGTAGTGCAATTGTCAGGCATCTCGTCAATACAGGTCACAACCCGTGGACGCCATGATATCCTTCAAAAATTATCAATTCAACAAAATAATTCAGCACTGCTCATGTTCGTCGAAACAGCTGCTATCAAACGTCTGGAACTGTTTAGAAAGGTGCAGCTACCAGTACCTCCTTGTCGTTGCAGCTCCATATGTTTACCCTGTCTCTTATTTGACTGCATAATTGTTGGCTTTAACCTATTCCCCTTCGCTATAATGTAATTTTGCTTGTCTCCTGTTTCTATGATTTGAGTTAGACTCATCGCATTGTTACTCAGTTTATGAATGACCGATCTTGCCATTGCATCGATGCCTTTATTTTTCGCTTAAATTTAAACCTCCTCTATGGGGGGGGGGCAAATAATGCTTTTAGTTCTTTTTTCAAAGTCAATCCTGATTGGAAGAATAATACTCATTACACAAGATGCCATACGCAGAATTAAAAGATTTATTATCCCCGCTCCCACTTGGAATCCGTCTCTTAAATCTTCCAGATTATAATGTGGAACAAATAATAAGGTCATGAGTTTCATATAGGTCATCCGTAGTTATTGAGCGAATAATGTCTAGTCAAGTTGAAAAGATGTTCCGCAGTTTAGCTAGTTAGCAAGCTGCCTAGCTGTCTTCAACGAGGTACAGTAATCTAAAACAGCTTCACATAAAGAAGCCATATACCCCCACAACATATATACATGTATGGATTTCTATCATACTGGGAATCACTCCCATACATTATGAAGTTAAAGTCACGCCATCAACTTTACATTTTCAAGTGATGTGCTCAGATAGCTACGCCTTAATTATTGATTAAGTGATATAAGAACATTCCGTTAACTAATAGCTGAGCCTGAAATAAAAACTCAAGATCACTTTTCAAATCAGGCTCAGTCTGTCTGTCATGATGATGAATTATCAGATCTGCCTATTGATCTGGTTTCCATTATTTAATATATTCTATTCTTACTTACTAGCGTTTATTTATTTTTGCATAGAAATATGCACATGTTACACATGTTTTAAAGTAAATATCTCACCACACTATTGATTTGTTTCATATTTACAGTTTCAAAGAGTCTAACAGTCTATCTGATCAATATTGAGATAAAATCGATAGTCCAATAGTTATATAGAAATCATAACGACATATTTGAGGTAACTTAAATCAGTAATAATGATAATGAATCACTGATATTAATGACATTACTTAGTTTCATATTAAACATGAGCATTTACTGATAACACAATGAGTTTGTTATAATAGATAGATTTATTGATGTAAACTTGTTGGTGGTTTAGCGGTAGAATACTGACCAACCACTCCTGCTGTGGTCCACGCTTCGATACCCAATGGATGTACTCCTCAACCTAGCCTAGCCGGTAGCAAGCACAATAAAGAAGGAAGGTTGGGTGCGGGGTCAGAAGCGTCACCCCGTAAAAGTTAAGTACCACTGTTAATGAAACTGCATAGCTCAAGTATGTAGCCTTATGTTTCAATGTGGGAAGCAAAGGAATAAAACGAATGTACCCTCGTAATGTACTGTAATAGAAACTACGTCTGACACAAAATACCATGGAATGGTTCCATCTTCTGACCTTACTTGGTCATCCCATATTTTACCGATCTCCAAGAAAATGTTCCGCCTAAGTTACTACATTAAGAAGCTAAAATTATCTGGAATCACTCAATCTCTGCTTTTACAATTTGTTAACTCGTGCATCTTCCCTATTGTACTTTAATGCCCCCCCCCCTGTACTTGGTCTTTCCTACTGGACTACTGAAAAAGGACTATGTCATTTCGTGAAGGGTGGTGTAGGTTATCAGCAGGGCAAGTGGTGTGCAACTTAGTCAGACAGCTTGTCACTACACCACTTGATAGACATCTAAACTGATGCGAGAAATGGTCTAAATCTGTAGTGCCTGACTCTCAATAACCAACCCTCTATTCTCAAGTCTCCCCGTCTTATATGTCATCTGGTAGACATGACTTCACTGTCACTACAAATACCGAATAAGCACTACCACTAACAATCCTGTAATATTATCTTTATTAGTGTTTTTAATGTTATTCGATAAAATTAGATGCAGTGTTGTGCCAAATGCTGAAAATTCCACACTGTATCATTAGTAATGTTTTAGAATAAAGTAAATTGTTATTATTACTACTTTTTTTAATGACCACATCAGCTACTTAGTTATAAAGCAGCTTTTTAAGTAGTTCCTTTCAATGAATATTTTTCGCCTGTGATCATGCGGGATTAATTCAACTACAGATGAAGTTACGACAGTTTTAAGTAAACTAGCAATAAAAAATATTGATCAAAATGTTTACTTGACATTACTCTAATGGCTTTTGGTTTCGCCTTGGGTTGATATCTATGTGATTGGTGATTGTAAACCTTTCTTTCTTATTTCTTTACGTTCCCAGTGGAACATAGGGTTTCAAGCTAGAGGCTTGAAGTTTCAGTAGCAGTGGTGTTTATTCTTTACAGGATGGGGTTGCTAGCCTTATGCCCAACCTTCCCTCTTTACCAGTCTTATTACTGGCTCAATGAGGTAAAGGAGTGAGTCTGCCGGGAATCGAATCCCGGACCACATGAGGCATGGATGGCGAGCACCCTGCCTCTGTGCCACCGACTCAGAGATTGTAAATCTAGCTATGATAATATCGCAGGCATCAAGACAATACTTAGCGCTTAATAACCGCATACATGTTATTATTTACTCTCATGAGTATTCAAGGTGTTTAAAACCTGCTCATTCACCAGTTTCTACTAAACTTGAGTAAAAGCATAACCATGGCGGAGGGCGGAGACACAACTTATCCCAATACATGGAATAACTATTCCAAAATTATGTCAATGGGTCTTAAAATGGACTCCTGAACTTTTTATAACTGACTTCAAAACAAATTTCATACATTCCTAGATGCAAACAAAGAAGAAATATCATGAGAGGTTGGTTTTCACTTCAGTTCAGAGGGCATTGTGTCGCACGATCTACTATCAGTTACCATTTTATCTGAAGATTCTGTTCGAAGAGAATGCAGCATGCAATAAACTCTACTGATTTAAACACTATTCAGAATAAAGCTACTATTATTATTGTTAAGGTACTTAGTTATACAAATCGCGAAATCGTCAGATGTGATTTAAATTCCTGTCCCGTATTGTGAATGTCAAATGTTTACGTCAGTCAGCAACAATTCTGAGGCAAGAAGATGAACGAATATTAAGAGGTCGTATAACAAGCACTGGCCGATTATACTACTGTAATGTAGTATACTTAATATACATAAAGTGGCTTTCCCTGAATACATGTCAGTGATCTTTGAACAGAAGTAAATACAAATATCAAGTTGGAAAACTCTTGAAGGGTGTACATCATAGCTCTTCCTTCGAATTATCTTGAGTAATGAACGGACTATCAAAGTTGCCTTCAAGACTTACACGATTCGCCGAACAGATCACTTTGCTGGTCAGCTAATACAGGAGAACACTTCTTACCTCTTCAATGATATTTTACTAATTTCTTCAAAGATATATGCTATCTATCAGTTTTAACAAACCATGTATTTTCACCGGGTTTAGTCAAAATTCATTCTGAAAAAGCTTTCAATGTTGTTTTTAATGTGTACACCTGAAAATTAACCTGGCTAGAGTTCATTCAAAAGCCTAGTGCTATGTATTTTTACGTGATAATTCTCATTAAAGTAATTGTTATTCTTTTAGAGTGACAATTTTCTATGGTCTCATATCATTTCTATTGTGGTTGCTTCTGAGTTCATTCATTAATTCAGTCATATAACTGAGTACGTTATATCAAAACGAATTTACCGCGCTTTCGTTTCAATTATAACTTAAATACAGGAGAACAGAGGCGGTCAATTATGATTTGAATTTTCTCAGGTAATTAGTTAGTTAGTTAGTTAATTTTAGAGAAATACCTATAATCGCATCACATTGTTACATTTTGCTCTTTTATAAACGTGTTTTAATCAACTTTTGCGTTTGTTACACTATGCGCGAAAACACCTTACAATAGCTTTTATCCTCACCTCGATATACTTTTAAATTATGCTTCAAACAAAATTATTTATGAAAATTCATTTTACTCAAAGACTGAAACATTGAAATGTGGATTTCATGGAAAAAAAATTCAAAAAAGGAACAAAAACAAAAAAACAAATTCAAATTTACCTGCCATATTGTTTACCAACTATACAATGCCATGTACGTCCATATTTTCTATCGAAATGTTGCTTGACATATGTAGCAATATCTTTGTCAACTTCATATTTTTCTCTAGCTGCAGCAGCTGTCTGTACGGCGTCTTCTTGCATTGGTGCATCCATATCAGCATTTTTTACAACAGCTTTACCAACGGCCATTTTTGTAATTGTCAGTTGAGGATTTAAACAAACAAAGGTTTTGATATAAACTTGGTTATAGTGGATTCAGTGGATGAACCAGTAGATGGTGAAAATATATATTTTAAGTAAATTTATGATAGTATAATCTATTTTTTATATGAATTATGCTTCATTGGAAAGTCAAATATTTCAGAAACATGCACACACACTCACGCACAAATACGTCAGCACAAATTCTACGCAACACTGTGCATTACATTCGTACATACACATGCACTGAAGGCTCATATTCATACTTGGTTTTGTAATTGGATCGGTTAGGTAAGTTGTATGCGGTGTATTTAAGCAAATATCTAAAATGGTTTGTTAGTTCGCACACAAGCACACACACACATACACATACACACACAAACAACAGGAGTACGTCAATAAGATGGTTAGCTGGTGAGACTATCGACGTATAAAATGATCGCATACACCACTTGTGAGCATGTATATATGTATATATATGGTATCGTTACATAAGCAGTTATCAATCTATATAGATATAAGCAAAACTGCTCAGAAAATTTACTTTGGACTTACGTGTGATACACTGTGAGAAGGGATTGTGAAAGAATGTGTAGTATTTGTGTGTGTATGTGGGGGGAGGGGAGGTGTATGTGTGTTTCGATGCATCTATAGACATCTGACCTACATATAAAGCAATCCAACTTGAGGTGAGTGACACTGAAATGTACGTAGAAAAGTTAAGTATGATGAATTGATCACTTTACACATACAATTTATCATGGTAGTGAAGAGTAAAACAATGTGAATAGTTTTTAAAAAAATGAGGCAAATCGATTGAAAAAAGAAACCTTCAATAAATAATTCAGTCGACAAAAAATACTTTCCTTGTAGGTGTGTTTCAATCAAGTTGTTCATTCCTATCTAATGGTTTGAAAAATGGATTTAAGCACTGAAGCGGAATGGTCTATGAGCTTGTCCTGTAACCGAAAGAACGTGGGTTTGAACCCATGAGTGAGCACTACTGACGAGTCCCAAACTAGGACGAAACAGCTGACCTATGGTTCTGTCTAACTGATGTCAACCTGTGATGAAGCCGGTAACCAATCAAACCACTGCATACCAATACTTGAAAATAAACAATAGAGTCAAAAGTTTCTTAAAATCAAGAACAATTTTTCAAACCGATCCGATATTGAGTTCAGCAGTGATTTATTTGCCGAAATGAAAACTACAAAATAGCTAAATTTATCTATAATCCTTTGGTCAGAAAAATCGAGATTTTGCAAATATCTTAGATTATAACACAAAAAAGGCGCATCGAAAGGAAATGATGCTTTAAGAATTGACGTATCCTCCGAATAATTCACTAGGGAATCCCTAGTTATTGAGTGTTGGTTTGTAGGGATTTGAGTGGTTACCGATTTGATCACTTTTTTTCCTTCATGTTCCCCAGTGGAACATAGGGCTTCAAGCTAGTGGCTTGAAGTTTCTGTAGCAGCGTTTATTTTACAGGATGGGGTTGCTAGCCTCATGCCCAACCTTTTCTCTTCACCAGCTTTTAGTTCTGGCTTAGCGAGGTAAAGGAGTGCGTCCGTGGCCGGGGATCGAACCCCGGACCATGTGCATGGTCAGCGAGCGTCCTAACCGCTATGCCACTGCCGCACACTAATTGACATCAATTACAAAGAACGACTCACAAATCAAGGAGTCCTGAACAGCTGTTTCGTGCTAGTTTATGACTCTTCCGCAGTACGCAACACTTGATAATTAATCTAGTGCTCACTAGCGACTGGCTTTATACAAGGAGTTATCTGGAGTTCTGGTATAAAGTCGTAACCAGAAAAGTTCACCAAATCTTTATTTTAACAAATCTAGAAATGAACAATTTTGCAAATTCAAAAGAATGGCTGTTAGTGAAATGCTTTTAGTGTGCATCGAAAGATCGCCTACCGAATTATAAATTTAAAAAGTACTCATATCTATTTGAAAAAGCCTTTTTAATGAACCTTAGACATATCAAGCCTTCAGGAAAACTTCCCTTGGGGCTTATTACTTCATTCAAAGTTACTACGAAGGACAAAAACTATCAGTTATTTCCTCGTGAATTTAAGTTGCTGTCTTTTCAAACAGTTACAAGAAGCTTGTAAAGATTAATCAATCAGTCAAAATAATATCAGGTTCGAGAATTTCATCATGAGCTGACATCAGTTAGAGAAACATTGGAAAACCAGCTGGGAATACTGGATGGATGTTTCCGACGTCCTGGTTTGGGACTCTCCATCAGTATGCACCCACCACCGCGGTTCGAACCCAGCACTTTCTGGTTACAACTCGAGCTCGTAAAACATTAAGCCACTGGGACCCGATCAAATGGCAAGCCCATGAATTCTAACTTCTGCCAATTCATGATATGGCGCGACCACTAACCAATGTCATCCTTGGCGAGTAGTTGTCCCCACACCCGGCCTGCTGTACCCCACTCTCCACGACTTTTCACTAGGACCCAGGTAACTACCTACCTGAATAGGGCTAGTCCCAAGCTAGGACGTCGAAAACAGCTGTACATTGCTCCCTGCAGGTTTTCCAATGTTTCTCTTACTGATATCAGCTCATGATGAAATCCTCCAGCCAGTCGAACAAAAACCCTACAAAACCAATACTTGAAAAACAATATCAGGTGTTAGGAGGATGAGACTGGGCTGAAGTTCGTAAACTAAAGTATTTTTTGCCTGACAAAACCCAGCTGCATGGCTAATAAGCAACTCTGAAGAAATGAGAGTTTGTATACAACCGTAAAACTTCAGTCATCTTACAGTTATCAGATCATCTCCATGATCCAAAATGTTGTCGATAGTTTTTCGATCAAGTGTGCAGTTTCGTTGATAAGCAAATCGTTGCGGTGAAATATAATTTAATATTAGTTGTCAGGAATTTGTGTATCAGCCTTTCTACTGATTGACCTTAAAAGCTAATATCAGATTGGAGTGTATCAGAGACTCTTGAATCCTTATAATACTGCATATACGACAAAATTAATTTTGATCCGCTTTTGGGAAACACTAATCTAAGCACAAAATGCTACATTCTGTTTGATTATCCAGGATTTATAATTTCAGGGACAAATGATTTTGAAATTTTTGAAGCAATTAGGTGTATTTATGAATCTTGACAAAACAATTAGAAGACTTCATTTATCTGAAAGGTGTTAAATATTTGCGCAACACAATTAGAACATTCTGATCATACGCGTTACACAGCAAAAAGGATAAAAAATTTTATCAATATAGATCACAATCACAAATAAAAGGTAGAAAAATGAGGTAATAATGAAAAGAGGTGAAAATGCAGTTGCGTAAAATGAAAATTGGCCCTAAATTTACATATTAAATGTCGAGACACATAAGGTTTATTGTAGGTTCACTGATTGAACAAACTTTTTCTCTATTCAGAATTGAGGATTTAACATATATCGGATTTCACTGCAACTTCAAAATCATCTACAGACTGCCTGGAAATCTCTCCACAGAAGTATGAACCAAACGGTGGAAGCTACGTCAACCCATTTGTTAAATCCTGACCTCTGCATACAGAAGAAGCTTGTTCAGTCACTGAACAACCTACAGTGAACCCAATTTTTCTCAAAATTTCATATGTAAATTTTGTTAATCCTATTTTTTCCTCTGCTTTTCCACTACTATGTGTCTACGCCTTGCGCCACTGATCTTAACGTGACCAACTTTCAGTTTTATTTAGTTGAACTCCACTCAACCCCGTCAATTATGTTACGTGACTCAATTTACTGACTTCATTTTATCTTAGTTTCTGCATGAATCACACTTTCTGTATTACATAATTGTTACCTAGATTCCATAGTTTCAAAAGAGTTCATATGAATTAGTATTGTTTGACACCTGGAAACAAGATTACATGAGCTATCAAACAGGATCTTTTTAATTTAAGCTTAAAATCCCTTTAAAATAGGTTCATTGTGAGAAATAATATATCACTGACTGACGGTAATAGTTTCTGTAGAACGGTAGATCACATTATATCTCCTGTGCTCATTCAAGGAGGATGTTGAGTGAATGTCGTGATACATGACTGGGAAATCGTAAAAGCCGAAACACATCAGTGATCAAATGGTGGTGTAACCTGGAGATGCTGGTGTGGAAATTTGACTGTATCGTTGGAGGAAAGTCTGGAGGTAGAACACAACAGTTATATAGTTCCATGTGATTCTTCACGTCGCATTTATCCAGAATACGAAAATAATTTGAATTCTGTCTTGTTTACCACCGCGTCGGTAATAGCACAGTCATCTTACTATGAATAAAACCACTGACATATCCTGTTTTGATGGTTAATTTTGAGCTGAATATATTTTTGTATAAATATATAGTATAGATTGAATTTCAACTGTAGCCAGACTCAGACACTGTTCATGCAATTCTTCCCATTAATAAACATGAACAACAAGTTTGTACTGGGATAATATGAGCTCATCTATAAGCATTTCGAAGATCCATTTCAACTGGCCATCCACTGCCTGAACAATACAAAAGATGTAAATTACATTAAAGATTGAACAAACTTTTTTTCTCTATGACAAACAGTAATGATACGAACTAAAATTTACATAATACTGATTGAGTGATGTGAGTAGTTTCGTTCATAACACTCAGATCAACCAGTATAGTGTTTGCTACCCAGCCAGATGGAGGTGGTCTACACACCATACCTAACCAGAAATCGGGTGGTTTGAACAGATTCGGCTCTCTAAGCTAAGTCAAATTGGTACACCTCCGATGAACTCAACCCCAAACGAGGGAAGCGGCCATTCGGTGTTTAAATCACCACGAAGTGGCTGGCTACCAAGCATCTCTGGTTGATATGAGTGATGTGCGACTACTCATCTCAGTCATTCAGTAGTATATAGTTTCAAACATTTTATTATTTTCTGAAAGGTCTGCTAGCAGACTTATTAGAAAACCAGTCAGAAGGCGAAT